ATGTATATTTCTAGTATAATGAAAGCTTTAACAGTCTTACACTATTTCTAAATGTCTTTCAAAAGAATGGGTCAAATCAAAGTGAAGAAAATGAAAGAACAATGCCTATTATTATACTTCTAATCACCTTTTGTAGGAAATTTCATATGCCAGCCATAATCTAACTCCCTCTTATAGGCCCCTCAATGGGTCCCTTAATGATTACACACCAAGAAAAATAGATTTTTATGATCATCTTACGCAACTATGGCGAAAAAAAAAACCTCTAATGGAACCCTACTTTGGCCTTTTATAAAATGGTAATAGGTATTTTCATTGATTTTTTTTTTCTCTCCTCTGATAATGATGCAGTTTCAGCAAGCAAGCATTATAACCATCTTTGTCCTTTGCTTTCGTCGGTTTGTTCATTTACAAACGAGGTTAAATCTTTAGGTAGTTTATCTTTGAATATATTTTATTCATTTTTTATATTTCCTGTCGTTTTTTTGTTCTCTTTTTTGAAGTTTTAAATTTCTTTTTAAGTTTGTAAAATTATAGTTTGTCAAACAATGCCCCTTTTTCAATTGTATCTTCCTTTTTTTTTATAGATTGCTGAAAAGTGTTTTTTTTCTAGTTTATTTTTTTTATTAATAGGTCTTATAAAAAAGTATTTTTCTTTAGTTATCTGTTGAAATCAGGTTTTATAGATAAAGGTAAACTTCTTTTGATTCTGTAAAGTTATTGGATAGTTATTTGATTGAGATAATTGTCGTGGAGATATTTACCTTTTAGTTCTCCAATAAAATTATATACAAGAGGTATTTATAGGGAGAGAGATAACAACTTATCCCAAGGTAAAAATAATAATAATGAGAGTGGTCAGCCACCGTCCCGTTTTCCTTATTACCGATAAGATTCCGAGAACCCCTCACACCTGTGGTCGACCTCCCAGAGTCCAGTGATGATTGACAGGTGTCCCATGGAGATTTCTATGGCTGTGTTTACAGAGCTACTTGACAATATGTTTTTCATTGATGATCATGTCAAACATTTCCAGCAATTTCACCAATTTAATCTACCAGATTCCTACAATAATCGTCTATATTTGAAGATTAACACTTGGTGATGGTGTTTGACGAAATTATGTAAAGATGTTTCTATAATTGTACAAATTTCACATATATATATCAGTATAGAGAATAAATATTGCAATCGTAAAGATAGAAGTTGCCTGGCCGGTATTCATATTTCTTCAAATTAAAGATACCTTGTTCAGTAAATCTTTTTTATTGTATCGACGTTTCGACAAAAATCTTTTGTCCTCGTCAGGAGCGAACAAAAATTCTAACATTTGGAAAAACTTTAAAAATGATTCTCTAAAAATAATTTTTAACGGTTTGCCAATTTTTTTAATTTTTGTTCGCTCCTGACGAGGACAAAAGATTTTTGTTGAAACGTCGATACAATAAAAAAGATTTACTGGGCGAAGTATTTTTAATTTGAATAACTATTGTAATGTTTATTCTACCTATATAGTATCTGTACTTGAAGTTTTAGTTTTGGTAATAATGTGTTAACGAAACTATGGAAAAATGTTTTTGTATTTGCATATATTTAACACTTTTCAAATTATTTTTCACATTTAGTTCACAACAATGATATAAATCCGTCCATTGTTTAAGAAAGGACAATAGCATTGAATGTTTCCATTTTCCACAAACAGAGTGTACGATGTGTGTATTGTTTATATATATATAAGGAGATGCCTTTTTCTTAATTTATGCACCTTATCCCAGTACAATGTCACATTTGTACTATTTTTTCACATTGTGTAGCGTTCTCACGCAAATCTAGCCTTAACTACCCGTTTCATGATTTTTCAGGATGCCTTAATGACCAAATTTTTTGGTCGTTGAGGTACAGCTTGCACCACGCTGATGAGGGCCAACAGCCCGAAACGCGTCCGTGGTTAGCTTTTCTTGATTAATCAAGAATGGGTATTTGGCCAATTCTGGAATAATTAAAAATCAACGAGAATAGTTGATATTTATTCCGATAGATGGCGCAAGCCATCAGCAACTTTCAGTTGCATGATAAGGAGATGCCTTTTTCTTAATATATATATATGTTGTGATAAATTATTTTTGTGATTGCAAAAGATTATTAGTTTGATGATTTGATAG